CATTCCTGCACCTATGAGGTGCCGGGAAATTCCTCCCAGCGTGTCCTCAACTAACAGAATTCTCCTTCAGAACTGGACACTTGGATTCATCTGTCAGAGTGGTGGCTCCGAATAAGGAAACCAGTTTGGGACCTAAAACATTCTTTTTTGTTTATATGGTTCACAGACAGCTGTCGCAGGCATGGCAAGCTGCCCTCACCTGTCACTGTCCGGGGAGCACAGCTTTCTGCACGGATCCTCACCTGGCCTTGACCCCAGGGCTCCTCAAACTAAGGGGGCCACGGACCCCAGGCCCCGCCCCCAGAGCTCCTGAGGCCGTGAGTCTGGGGTGGCGCCCGAGAACCGCATTTCTAACCTGATCCCAGGTGATGCTGGTGCTGGGGTCTGGGACCCCATTTTGAGAAGACGGACCCAGACGGCACCAGGGAGCGTGGATGGGTGGACCAGCCTTGGGAAGAGACAGGAAGGAGGGGCGGGGGGAGGGGAGGCAGTCTCCTCCGTGTCTCCCATGAGTAAGTGTCGGGCAAAGCGTGAAAGGATTCAGAGCAACAGGGGGTGTGATCACAGCATCCCTGCAACGTTGTGGAGGCACTCGTGCATCCGGCACTTTGGGACATTTCCTAGTTATAGCCTCACAAGAGCCCCTGGAACACAGGTTTGCCCCCATCTTATAGATGTGAACACTGTAGGCGTGACCTCTGCTTTTAAGGAAAGGGCTCAGGCGACTCCGCCCCCCCAAGCACAAACACAGAGAGGTCCAAGCACAGCTCTGGTGCAGACACGGGCCACGTCTGGACCAGAATAAACTTCACCCTGACAGCAGTGATGCACCCAGAGGCTCGTGGCATCTGCTCCAGGGACACGTCTAGGCAGTGATGTCCCTTTGTGGGTCGGGGTGCACAGGGCAGCCCACTGCCCACAGCCGGGTGTGCACAACTCGCCGGGGCCGGGGAGGACGGGACATGATACCCCAAGCTCCAACGGCCACTGGACACCCAGCGCTTTCCAGCCCAGAACTGCTCTCCCTGACAGTTGACTGTGCCAGAAGGGTCCCCCCTCCTGGGATTCGTTACATAGAAAATGTGAGAGTAAACATGGGAAACCCCATAGGGCTTCATACGAGGACACCCCAAGTCACCCACAAAGGATTAGGGCATCCTTTGGTGCTTTCCCAGCATAGAATCGCTTGTGTCCACGGGCAGCGTTCAAGCACTGTTAGAGCTGCATTTCCAGAGCCAGAGCCTCAGAGCAAGGCTCACTTTCATAAACTCCTTGGAAGCTTCCAGATCTTTAAAACAATGAGATCCTTAAAATTAATAGCGATGTGTTTCTTCTTTTGTGATTGTTAATTAAAATTTTGTACCGCTAGCTGCTGGTACAGAATTCCATATTGAGCCTAAGAAATGAATCATAATTTCAGAAAATCCTTACTAAGATATTTTAACAAAAAGACACTCATAGGGCTTCCCTGGTGGCACAGTGGTTAAGAATCTGCCTGCCAATGCAGGAGACACGGGTTAGAGCCGTGGTCCGGCAAGATCCCACATGCTGCAGAGCAACTAAGCCCGTGCACCACAACTACTGAAGCCCGCGCGCCTAGAGCCCGTGCTCTGCAACAAGAGAAGCCACCACGATGAGAAGCCCACGCACCGCAACGAACAGTAGCCCCCACTCGCCGCAACTAGAGAAAGCCCGCGCGCAGCAACGAAGGCCCAATGCCTTAAAAAAAAAAAAAAAAAAAGACACTCATTGATGTAACAGTCGGGCAAAATCTAGACTCATGACTTACTTTTCACACAATTCCAGTCCAGTCAAGTCACTAACTTTGACCAGTACAATGACAACTTCAAAATTCCAACAATCTCTTCCTTCCATCCTTAACTGGGTACCGCCGCTAAACGACGCAGCTAAATAAGGAACATGGAGCTGCTTCTGTTAACCTGCGATGCTGGTCGTTAGGGGGGCTGAGGGTGGAAGGAAGAAAGTGGGAAACAAGGAGAAGCAAACGAGAGGAAAACAGTCCCCGGCTTTCCCCTGAACACAGAGCCTCATGCCCGGCGCAGCTTCTGGCCACGAGAGCACAGCTGGGGGAGGATGTGGAGGTCCCGACGGGGCACAAACAACAGGCACGTTACCTTGTGGCTGGACTCTCCGTCCAGGCTGGCGGTGGTCACGTGGCAGGTCCCGTCCGCGCGGCTGCTGGACAGGAAGATCAGGTCACAGGGGAAGGTCTCGTCCTCCTTGACCATGACGATGTCCCCGACCTGCGGGACAGACAGACAGCAGCACCGTGAACCGAAAGCCGGGCTCCAGGCAGCAGCTCCCACAGACACCATCACGGTGCTACCTGCAGGAAGGTGTGTGGATGCTAATATAACTGAGAAACATCGCTGCCCGGACATCTGGCCCAAACCCAGGAAAGGCCTGTGAGGCCAGTGCCCCAGCCTTAGACCTGGGATGCTTCACAGTGCATCATGACAGAATACTTTGCGATATTCTATTTTGCAATGATAGAAATATTTGCACCATTTGTATTCCAAGTAGGCAGATGAGGTGGGCGGTCACCCTGCAGGCATGAAGCCTGTGACGTGGCCGCAGTGATCAGCACTGAATGGTCACCAGCGGTCCCCGCAGAAGACGGGCACAGGCCATCGTGACGCAGCCGAGAGCCCAGAAACAGACCCACGAAAATACGCTTAACTGACTTTGGACAAAGGTACGAAAGCCACTCCATGGAGGAGGGACAGCCTTTCCAACAGATGAGCACTTGGTCAGTCCCGGGCAAAAAAAGGGACTTTCACCTAAACCTCACACCTGACGTAAAAAGTAACACAAAATGGATCAAGAAGTTAAATCTGAAACATAAAACTATAAAACTTTAAGGAAAAAAAAAAAAAAACAGGAGAAAACCTTTGGGCTCCAGGGCTTGGCAGAGTTCTTAACCTTGACATGAAAGGCAGCATCCATAAGAGGAAAGATCGGTGAACTGGACTCCATCGAAATGAACAACCTCTGCTTCGCGAAATACCCCATTAAGGTATTTCTGACAGAGGACCAGGCTCGACAATAGATGAACTCCCAACGTTCAACAGTAAAAACCCTCAATAATCCAAGTAGGAAATGGGTAAGGGCCGTGAACACACGTTTCATGAAAAGGATGCCCTGATGGCAAATAAGCACATGGTAAGATGCTCACCAGCCTCTAGGGAAGCACACACTTAAACCACACCGAGAATCAGAACGACCGAGAGAAGAAACAGCGAGAACGCCAAACGCCGCCGGGGATGCCAAGAAACGGGCCTCTCACACGTTGCTGGTACAACAGTGCAGACACTCTGGGAAATGGTTTGGCTGTTCCTTTTACCGTAATTTCATGACAACCCAGCAACTGAACTCTTGGGTTTTTATGCCAGAGAAACGGAAACTATACTCATACAAAAACCTGTACACAAATGTTCACAGCAGCTTTATTTGAACGGCCCCAAACTGGAGAAACATCAACATCCTTCACCTGGGCCACGCCCGCCCCCAGACTCTGCAACGAAAGGAAGGCGTCCAGGGGCTTCCCTGGTGGCGCAGTGGTTGAGAGTCTGCCTGCCGATGCAGGGGACACAGGTTCGTGCCCCGGTCCGGGAGGATCCCACTTGCCGCGGAGCGGCTGGGCCCGTGAGCCTTAGCCACTGAGCCTGCAAGTCCAGAGCCTGTGCTCCGCAACGGGAGAGGCCACAACAGTGGGAGGCCCACGTACTGCAAAAAAATAAATTAAAAAAAAAAAAAAAAAGGAAGGCGTCCAGATGCGCAACCTGGGTGAGTCCTAAGGGAATTCAGCTGCGTGAAAGTTGCAGACTGTATGACGCCATCCACGCGAGGACAAATCCTGGAGGTGGACAAATTGAAGGCTCCTTTTCTACTCGCCACAAGCAGCCTTTGCTTCCTTCCTTGTCTCACAGACTCCATTAAAATCCTCTCGGGGAAAACAGGCTGGATACAGAGCAGACATTCCCCATAGGAGATCGATACATTAAAAATTCAATTTTCTGCTGACAGGTACTGTTTAGGTCTGTTCTTGAAGAGATGTTTATTAAAAGTATAGAAGACTTTGCAAAGGAAATATAGTTGTTAAAGTAAACGGTATTTGGAGCCTAGGGTCCGAAAGAGCCTGTTAACATATACATGGGGGTCCCCACTGCTGTTCCCACACTGAGAGGCTGTCCTCCCAGCTCCCCACCTCCTGACTCCTTGACCACTAGGAAAATATCGCCAACCTAGGCTAACGGAGGGTAATTACTGAAACACCTGGACGGTGAAATTTATAAAACAAAGAAAATGTGGTTGAGAAACCTAAAAATACATCCAATATAGAACACATATAATAACTATTATGAGGTTCACGAAGATGGACCACATGCTGATGACACCTGAAACAGGAGTGTCCGGCATCCCGAACCCTGTCCTCTGCCCGAGATACCCACTGACCCCCAGGCTGACCCGCTGCCCCTCCCAGGGCTTGGGGACGTGCCTGGAAGCAGAGGCTCGGGTTCAAAGACGCGGAGGCCCACCTTTCTGTCCCTGTGCATGAGGGCTGGCGACTCTCTCCCACAGCAGCTTCCTGATGGCCCTGCCAGGACTTCTGGCCAGGAAAGCAGCCCCGGGGTGGACAGAGGGATGGTGGGGCTGCAGGGGAGGGGGAGGGGGGCGGTGACTAGGGGGAGGACAAGCCCAAGGAGGATCGGGGGCGGGGGGGGGGAGGCTGGCCAGGCTCCACCCCCAGGCTCACAGCGAGACATGACTCGGGGACAAACCGTAAAAATCATACTTATCACCTGCACACGTGTAAGTGCTTCTAAACGGCTAGCACAGGCCTGAAAATAATCCACTTAAATAATTTAAATATGAATTTAAACATAATGATGCATTATTACACCGATAATATATTGAAAAAGAAGTAATTAACGTGCAGCTTTCAGGGAGGTTTCTGTCCCCATTTTCATAAATTTCCAACTGGTAGAGTTGACCATACTAATACGGTTTTGCCTTTGCTGTCAAATAACTTTTCTATAGGTGTCGAGAGCTTTCCCTGTCTTCACTGGTGACTATCATGTCATACGCGGCAGACAACAGGCCTGGGGGGAGCCTGATGGACGAGAGGCTGTGCGTGGGGGACCGGGGGTGGGGGAGACACTCAATTTGCTGTGACCCTAAACCTGCTCGAAAAATAAAGTCGATTAAAGCTTTAAAAATAAATACATAGAAGTAAGAAGTTAAAAAAAGGCAGTGGTAGGAGCTTTGCCCGAAGTGAGCAGTACTTGGGGAAGAGGGTGGGCCTACATCCAATAAATGAAACAATTTCAGACGGAGGTTTGGCCAACGAAAACAGCCCCGTGGCGCTGTTTTCTCATCGTAACAGGTCTGCGGCCGTCTGGGGTCGGCGGGCCGCGGGTGGTGGGGGGACTCACCCTGAGCTTCCGGCTCTGCTTCCGCACCAGCCGTCCGTGCTGGACGAAGTGCACGGGGCACTGGTTCACGGCGCTGTCGGCTTTGTGGCGCAGCCAGTCCTCGTAGCCCTGCGGTGGGGGAGAGACGCCGTGAGCCCCTCCTGGACTTGGCAGGTGCGGCCGTGGCCACGGTCAAGTGCGTGTGGACACGAGCGGGCGGGAGCCGCGTCCCTGGGCTCCCGCCACCGCCGTACGCGAAGCCACGTCTTCCCTCGCACCCAGCCCCCACCCGGGCAAGTCCTGGCGCGTCCCGCACAGGGACACGCGTCCTGAACCGACCCCTTCCTGCTCGCGTCCCAGCTGCCCCGTGCCGCGGCCTCCGGCCCGCAAGGACAGGACCAACCCAACTCCGCCCCACCCGAAACAGCTCCAAAGGCTCCCCGTCGGGACCCGCGCGGGTGGACGGCCGCCCTCGGGTCAGCGGGGCTGTGCCTGGGGTCCCTGGGCTGCCGAGAGCCGCTCGAGCCCCCTGGGTCTCAGGAGCAGCCGAGGAAGGGGTGAGGGCCGCGGGCAGGCGGGCAGGCGGGCAGGGGAGCAGGCGGCTCCAAGGGGCTGTGCCCACCCAGGTGAGCGCTGCAAGGGTCACGCAGAGGAGCCCGATGTCGGCTGCTCAGCACCCAGAGGAGGACGGGAGCACGGGGGGGCTGGCCAGGCGGTGGTCTCCGTGGGAGGGGCTTTGCGTGCAGAGGGAGGAGGGGGCTGAGGAGGAAGCGGGGGGCTGGCAGAGCTGGAGGTTAGCTTGGGGACGGGTGGCCCTGGAAGGTCACAGCTCTGACAAGGGACCTCTTTCGCCCTCTCCTCAGGCCCTTTGGGTCTGCTGGCCTATGTCTGAGGGTCGAGCCAGGATGGACCCGGGCTGCGCAGGGCACCATGTCCTGGCCAAGGTGGCAGGCAGGCGCTTTCTGTGCCCATGGGCGGGTCTCACCCACCAGGAGCTGCTACCACCACGCTCACTCCATAGCCACAGGGCGGGGAGTTCGAGGGCACACACTTAGGGACAGGGATACTTGCTGTATCCAGAGGCCCCCTGCTGTGGTCAGGATGCTCTTGGGGCTGGCTCCGTGCTCTTTCAGCTCTGCCTGCATCACTGTCTCAGGGCAGAACCCTCTAAGATCAGGCCTGGGGTCGCCAGCCCCCTGGTGACTGGTCTGTTCTAAGAGGCTCACACAGTATGTGCTAAGTGCATGGACCAGGCTCCATCTGTGGGTCCCTGTATCACATCCTCAGCTTCGCCAGATATTCCAAACTGTTCCCCAAGACGGTCCCGACATGCTCCCATCAGTGCGTGTGGATGCCTGTTTGACCACATCTTAATCCTATCTGCTCTTCAGACTTTTACATTTAAAAGCCAATTTAATGGGTAAAAAGTAAAATCATATCATTGTTCAAATCTGTATTTCCAGATGACTGGTGAGTGGAAAATAAAACCCAAATTATCACAAAGGAATCCTTAAATGCTTCTCATGGTTCTGTATTAAATACAGACCAGCCCAGAGTTCACACTGCAGACTGGCTGGGAGAGCTGCAGGCACCGCCCTTACACTCACAAAGGTCACCTTGAGACTCCGTTTTTCATGTTTTCTCGGTCTGGAGTCAATCACTTGGCCAGGCGTCACCTCATTCCCACTCTCACCCACTGTCACTTGCACCATGTCTCATGTGACATGTGTGTTCAGTTTTTTAATTTTTTATTTAGAAACTAACACAGAAAGCATGGCTTTGTCAGCAACAATGTGACCATCAAGAATTTAACTAGATGCTACTTTTCTGTAAATTATTTCAAATGCAAATGTCATCCTGTTCAAAAGTTTGCAGCAGGGACTTACTTCCCTGGTGGTCCAGTGGGTAAGATTCTGCACTCCCAATGCAGGGGGCTAGGGTTCCATCCCTAGTCGGGGAACTAGATCCCGCGTGCATGCCGCAACTAAGAGTTTGCATGTTGCAACTAAAAGATCCCGCATGCCGCAACTAAGACCCGGCGCAGCCAAAACAAATGAGTAAGTAAATAAATAAATCACTAAAAAAAAGAAGTCTGCAGCAGATAAGGGACTTGTATCTACAACATATAAAGAATTTTCACGACTCATGGATAAAAAGACAACCCAATTTAAAAACAGGCCAATGACTTGAAGCTATTTCTCTAAAGGAGATTTACAAAAGGCCAATAAGCTCATGCAAAGATGCTCAGCATCATTAGTTACCAAGGAAACGTAAAATCAAAGCCACAGTGGGATACCACCCCACACCCGCTAGGATAAGTGTAATAAAAAAGATGGACAACAAGCCTTAGCAGGAACGTGGAGAAACTGAAACCTCACACACGGCTGGTTGGAATGTAAAATGGGGCAGTCACTTTGGAAAATACTGTGGCAGTGCTTTACAACATTAGCGCAACTCGATTCCTTTGTATGTACCCAGGAGAAATGAAAACCTGTGTCCACACAAAGCGTATATGTGAATGTTCATAACGGTGTTCTCCATAATAGACAAAAAGCAGAAGCATCCCGGGCATTCCCTGGCGATCCAGTGGTTAGGACTCTGCCTTTCCTCTGGGTTCGACCCCTGGTCGGGGAACTAAGATTCCGCAAGCCACGCCACGTGGCAAGAAGTAAGTAAATAAATAAAAAGCCACATAAAAAAAAAAAGGGAGAAGCACCCCACATGTCCATCAGTGGATGATGGATAAACAAAATGTGGTCTGTCTATATCCACATGATGGAACATTATTCATCTGTGAATGAAGCACTGATACACGCTACAACATGGATAAACCCTGAAAACATGCTCGGTGAAATAAGCCAGACACAAAAGATCACTACTGTATGGTTCTGTTAATACGAAATGTCCCGAATAGGCAAATTATAGCAACAGAAAGACTGGTGGCTGCCAGGAGCTGCAGAGGGGGATGGCGAGTGACGCTCACGGGTATGGGGGCTTCTTTCAAGATGTCGGGAATTTTCTGGAACTAAACAGAGGTGATGGTTGAGCATTAAACTGGCTGAGTGGATGGTGGGACTAACAGACGACCTGGCCTTCCTGTTAGTCACCGGCTTTATTTATCAGGATTGCAAAGAACAGCACGATCCACACTGAGCGAGTCAGGGGTCGCCGGGCTGTTCTACTTATAGAGCCACATCCCAGACCCTCTGCACGAGCAGGTCCTCGGGGTTCGGGCAGCCAGGGACACTGCGGGCAAAGCAACTCAGGTGCTGTCTCTGGGTGATTCCATGTGAGAACGACCATGTCCTCTTCAAACTCTCAGGGCGACAAACTAGCACTAAATTACACCATCTCTCTTCTTGTAACTCCAGTATCTCTTAACTCAAGACTCTATCTAAACCAGTCACAAAAGTGAATTTCTAGAAGTCAGCTAAGTTTCCTACGAACCAGCTGAAACAAAGCGGGGAACTTTGCTTTGGATGAAAGGCGATGCCCTATAGCAGAGATTCTGTAGGACCTTCGTCCTTTCTGCCTGTAAAGCTCACCTGCTTGATAGCTGTGACAGTGATGACAAAGAACAGCGGCAGGCCGCTTGTCACTGGACTTGTGGGCGTATCGATAATCAGCTGCAGTGAAAAGAGAACTGTTGAGTCATTTTCAGAAACACTTCTTAGGGGCTTTAGACAGACTGGCTGGCCCTGTAACACCTGCCAACGTTTGCTTTGACTCATTTTAACTCACTTTACTATTACCCCACTTCATCCCACCACTGGAGATAAATTAGATACGAATTTTTACTATAAAACTGAGGGCAGTTCTCCTTAATTACGGGACGTGCTTAGGAAGCCACGTCAGCAGTGGCAAAGACACCAGCTGACTCCAGTGCACGTTTTATTTCAATTCACCCCTCTGCTTCTGGTGCCACACTTTAATTACATTACTTGCATAAATTACTGTTGGGGAAATTTTAAAAGTCCTTCAATGGTATTTTGTATGATTGAGACAAGTTAGGTTGCTGTTCTTAAAGCACATCTGACCTGCTCCCTAATCCATACCTCACTGTGGTTTTCACTCTCTCTTTTTTTTAACTCTCTTTCTCTTAATGTTTTTATTCAGGAGAATCCCCCCCTAACGATTAGGAAGATACTGCTCTCCCGTCAGTACTGGAGAACGAGGACGGAAAGTGGCCAGGACCGGTTCACATGCACAGCGTTCACGCCTGTGTTTTAGTGAACAGGCCTCTCTGACCCAACATGCTTGTCCTTGAAGAAAACAAGTGAAGCATCCGCAGATAAAGGGGCATCAAGTCCTTTTGCTCCTTCTGAGGAGCAAACCAATCACCTGAGAATAAATGCCATTTATTTATATTTACATTTGAGGTGACAGAAAAAGATGACCAGACTTACCTGTACCAGAAATATGATAAGAAAATAAAAGTTGGCTATTCTTCTGAATTGTTCAAATAAGTTCTTGGGTATGAAGTTCCAAAATGTGTACTGTATAAAAGAAAAACAGAAAGGAGTCATTTTGATCACATTTTACATTGTGTAGTATTACTCTTCCACATGATAAGCAGTCCTGAATTTCAAAGTACAAAATGTCTAGCTTTAGATACAAAATTGAGAGCGTTTGTAGACATTTTATCAACTTGTTGACTGTAAAAACAACCGCTAACACAGAACATGCGCTCCAAAAGCAGCATATGTCAACTACCTAATTCCAATAATTCAAGGTAAGGCCAAGTAGCTTAAGAACAGTTTGACTATTAAAATGTCTCTCGTAAAATATAAAGCTCTGATTGTTAACTCAAAACACACATGGTTAGCATTCTTCTTTGATTGTAATTTTTGGTAAGCTCTCTGTTTTGTTACAGCATGGCTGGGAGGGGACAGAAAGTAAAACAGAAGTCTCCATTTTCAGGGGGTCTTAACCCAGCTTGGCTACGGTTCCCGCACTGAGGAGGTGTCCTGGGCCAGCCCCTCCTCCTTACCTAGGGGGTGGAAAGGGACACAGGGAGGGTAGTCAGGCCACTTACTCGCCAAATGTCTCGTTTTTGCCTCAGAAGGAGACCTTCCCTAACCTTTGTGTTGAAAACAACAATGTCCCCTATGTCATTAACCTACAGTAAACACTGAGCTTGGACACTGTTTTTAAAATTCCATTTGACAGTTTTGCCTTTTAATGAAGATTGCCCCCTGGAGGGGGAGAGCCTGCTCTGACCGCCATCTCTCTCATCTGGACCTGTAAGCACCTTGGTTCTCTCTCTGCATCTAGACCCGCAAGCACCATGGTCAGCTCCCATCAGGGGATGGAGCTGGCACCGAGCATCTTGACGCTGGTTACCAAACTCATCCCAAGAGCTCCTTTAATGCCAGGATCTCAAACACAGGTTCTTGAAAATCATGCTGTCTTTTTAATTTCAAATTCCACTTGTTTGCTGCTGGCATATAGGGACGCAATTGACTTTTGCATCCTGCAATCTTGCTCTGATAGCTTATAAATTCCAAGAGGTTCTGTTAATTCTTTGGGTTTTCTACATAGACGATCATGTCACTTGTAAACAAAGACAGTTTTATTTCTTCCTTCCCACTCTGTTTATCTTTTATTCCCCTTCCTTCTCTTACTGTATTAGCTACGACTTCTAGTAAGACGTTGAATAAGAATGGTGAGAAGGGCCGCTTTGCCTTGTTCTCAATCTTTGGGTGAAAGCGTCTAGTTTTTCACTATTAAGAATGGTTTTAGCTATGGTTTTTGTTTTTTGGGTTTTTTTTGGTAGATGTTGAGGAAATTCTCCTCTGTTCCAAGAGTTTTTATCACGACTGGGTGTTGGATTTTGTCAAATGCACACTAGGTTTTCTTCACTGGAGTACAACCAAGGTGAGAACCAAAAGGCAGGTCCGAGACGGAAATGTAGCCACAGAAATTGAGAGGACAGAACACACTGCTAGATCTCCTTTATCTCTGTTTCTCAATCAGAAAAACAAACAAAAACAAACAAAAAACCCCAACCCTGACAGCCAGTAAAAGTACAGGCACTTTCTTCCTTAAAATAAACACCCCCCCCAAGACCATGATCTGAATTTTCAACTTGCTCCTCCTACGGGACACTCAGCTACTCCATGGAATTCTCAAAACAGTTACTCTTTACCGCACCACAAAAAACATGGACTTCGGAGTCAGACCCCATATTAAACCCTGGTCCTGACATTTAAAAATTGGGTAAGAGCAAACTATTTAATTCAAGGACTGAGTTCTACCCTTCTCGTTTATAAAATGAGTATTAAGAACAGCATGTGCCTTAAAGGAATGTAATGAGGCTCGAAGTTCTGGCTCAGACTGGTCTCAAAAATGACTGAGACGGGGCTTCCCTGGTGGCGCAGTGGTTGAGAGTCCGCCTGCCGATGCAGGGGACACGGGTTCGTGCCCCGGTCCGGGAGGATCCCACATGCCGCGGAGCGGCTGGGCCCGTGAGCCACGGCCGCTGAGCCTGTGCGTCCAGAGCCCGTGCTCTGCAACGGGAGAGGCCACAACAGTGAGAGGCCCACGTACCGCAAAAAAAAAAAAAAAAAATGACTGAGACGATGAAATTCTACAACTTGAGAAGAAACGCAAACAAATCAATCTTTTTAAATGTTTGAGAGAGATATATTTTCTCTTAAGCAGGCCATAATGAAATTCAGTTACTTTTCACTAACTTTCAAAAGGAGTTATTAAAAGAAATATGTTATGTCATCACGGCATTTATGTCTCATTCTTGTGGTTCTGTAACCAACCTAGAATGATCTTTCATTCTTTGTATGCTCATTTCTACGAGATACTGATCCCAAAATGGAATTGTCTTTAAGACCCCAGCCCATGAAACCCACCCTGTCTCTCAGCACCCAGGCTGACTACCCAGTAGTTAATCAAAACGCCTCCCCAAATACCTATAACACACTACTCAGTAGCAAAGTCCCATTAATGGAAAAAGTTCCTGCTTAAAAATCCCATTTTCTATCTGCCGAAATATTTATAGATGGAAATTATATATTGTTTAGGATTTGCTTCAAAATGATCTCGAGGAAGAGAACAAAGGCACAGCGAAGCACACTGGGCCATCTGCTGATAACTGCAGACAGTGGACGGTAAGTGCATAGACATTTGTTACCCTATTCTCTTTATTTTCCTGTGGTTTTGAAAGGTTCCATATTAGAAAGCTCCATACATTTATTATAGAACGTCATTTTCTACAATCCTACCAGACGTGCAGATCAGTTTTTATTAACCCTAGCAAGCTACGTGAATATCCGGTCTTATTCTATTTTAATGCTACTGTTTCAGGACACCCTTTCAGTTTCCTAAATCCTAGTCTACCAGGGAACCGGTACAGATCTGGAATTTAAAGCCACTTAAATGATGACTTTATTCCTATCAGGTGCAGGAGGCCCATGCTGCAGCTTAGACATTGTTTTGTGATCTCCATATTTTATAGAATAAATGACTGTCATAAGTTATTACTGCTGATTATTAGTAACACGGTCAAAATCCCTGATGATGTTGGTAAGAAAAGTGAAAACCCAACGAGAGAGTTGAAACATTCATGACTGCACTGATACATCAGTACTGTATGGATAAAATAAAATAAAACGAGCAATTTATTACACATGTAAGAGTTGGCAATCGGATAATGGTGTGCCGATTGTACATTTTTAAAATATTCCATTACCACATTTAAAAAAAATATTTATTTATTTACGTATTTATATGGTTGCACCAGGTCTTAGTTGTGACAAGCGGGCTCCTTAGTTGTGGCTTGCCTGGCTCCTTAGTTGTGGCGTGCGAATATTTAGTTGCGGCGTGTGAATCTTTAGTTGCAGCATGCGTGTGGGATCTAGTTCCCTGACCAGGGATCGAACCCAGGCCCCCTGCATTGGGAGCATGGAGTCTTATCCACTGTGCCACCAGGGAAGTCCCCCAATTGCACATTTTTGATCTCTGCTAATTCTAAATTCTAAAGATCTAAATATTTGCTTAGACACTTGGGCCACAATATAATGTAACACTTTGTAGTACAATGCAACACTCTGACCTACATCTGTCAAGTCCCAGGATCAGTAGAATAGAACTTAATACTGGAATCCTTGATATTGAGCCACAAGCATGGAACAGAGGGGTTTTTTTTTTTTTTTTTTGCTATGAGGGAGCTAAGGAGTCTGAGGTCGGCGGAGCATCTCTTTCCCATCAGACAACTTGAGGAGTATTGAGTCCACAGGACAATTACTAGCCTTGTGCTTCTTTCACGCCATGAAAGACTTCACACCCAAAGTGTGCATCTGCCCTGGGGGTCGTGTGTCGTCAGCGCTGAGCTGGTTTTGGCCACTCTCTTCCTTCCGTGAGAGTCACCTGTGTCCTGTAGTCACTGGGAGGGCGGCTCAGACGCAGAGAAGCCGTCCCGCCTGGTCGACCTTTAGTCACATGGAGATGGGGAGACAAGGACAACCTGGCGCCACCCTGCTTTGCCAGCCCCGGAGAGTGAAACCAGAGCACCTGGAAACCGCTGAGGCTGCGGCTATTGTGTGCCTGGAGGGGGAATCCCGCACAGGTGCGCACGGGGTGCCCTAAAAACGCACCGGGCACGGTCACTGATCTCCAGGGAAGGCGACCCGGAAGGTCACAAGTAGTTCAGCTTTCTGTACAGGGTGGAGGGACAGCACAGCCTGAGCTGAACATTTAATTCCACAGCATCCTGAGGGCAGAGATGGGAGCCACACGTGTCTTGTGCCCAAAGGTACAATTCTGTAACTTGATGAAGCCCCACTGTCCCTGAGTCCAGGATCTGGTGCTAGAGCAGGCCCTGGGTTGGGGGTTCGGCGTGAGGTCAGAAGCCAAGGGGTTGTGCTGGGGTCATTTCTACCAGCTTCTGCCCAGAAAGGAAACAGGACTCACTGATCACCAGCACCGGCACTTCTTTGGATCAGGCCAGATGAGCATTTTCACCCCTCGTGTAACTTTTCACAGGCTACATGCTTTCACGACCTTGCATTTAATAAAATCAAACTTACTACTTTACTGCTACTCCTTAAGTAAGAAGTCATAAAACTTATTACTAAAGTGCGTCTGTGCACTCACGAAATCTTTGTTGACCATCTTTTCTTTTAAGGTAGAAACGAATGTTCTCTCCCCAAGAAAACATATATACATCACCACAAACATATTCTCTGAACCTGTTTGTAAACTTACGCTTTACAAATTAAGTTGTATTTTCCACATCCTGAGCTGTTTTTAAATGAAAATGATCATGTGTCCAGATGTCCACGTCATCTGGTCTAAATCCACGGCCTGTCCACCCTGCTACTGACTTGGATTCTAGGTCCTCGTCTGAGGATCTCCTCTGTACTGAGATCAAGTAGCAAACCGAGGTTACGTTGTCTGTAACTGTTATTGAAATTACACACCATCATCTACCCGGAACTGACTTTAAGCCACTAATCCTGCAAGTCCCCTCTCTCCTCAGAGCTGAGACGTGTTGCCTTTTCACCAAAACCCACGCCTCCTGTGTGACAGCCTGATCTGGCTCCTGGGGCAGATGCTGACTTAATTCTGTCAGGGCCTGCTCCATAGCTGCCTGGGGAGAAGGAACTTTCCCGAAAAGAAACAGTTTTGAAAAGGTGCCCAGGACCTGCACGTGTATCGAAACCCATCCTTACAGTGCCCTCGCCCCGGGGGGGTGGGTTTCCTCTGTCAGAACCCAAGGAGCCTCGGGGCACATAGGAAGAAGCCACCGCAGGCAAGGCAGCGCCTTGCAGACCCTGGGGCCGAGCAGACCCCGGGGGGTGACACGGGGCCCCTCAACGTCTTGCTGGCCGCCGGCTGCGGGAATATTAGAAGGGGAAACCTGAAAATGATAAATTGGCTCGAAACTTGAATCATAGCAAAGGGGTCATAAATGGGATTTAGGAATCACTGCCCTCGATGATCTCCCCCAGAGCGTGGACGGGGCTTCATAACAAACACAGTGCCCTGCAGCCTCGGGCTCTAGTCCACCGGACGCGTCAAGAAGGGCTTTGCTGCTCCGATCCCTGAGTTTCTGAAGTTTCCTTTGAGCGGCTGCACAGAACCTTCCAGGTCCCCGGGAGGAACCGGGGCTGGGACAGCAGGGCCCAAGCTTCGTCCCTGGGGGAGAAGCCAGCTGTGCAGGATGTGACTGAGCAGCTGAGATGGCTTTGTCAAACGTCCTGCCCAGACTAGACGCGGGGCAGCGTGGGGACTCGACGCCTAGTCGAGTGGGGACTCGAAGTTGTCCCTGCAAGTTCACACGTGCACAACATCTGAGTGTTTTCAGTGCACTTCCCCATTCCTCGATGCGTCTGCACTGCACACGAGCAGATTTCTAAGAAATACGTTTGAGATTTTGTTCCTTTGGGGGCACTAGTGGTTGGCAGAGTGCATCTTCGGTGAGCTCTATTCGAGACTGTCTAACTTATAAATGTCACTACTGGAAAGACCTATTTCTGGATATGAGGTCCTCCTGTTTATTTCTCCTTTCATTGGTCACGTCTGGGCAACCACGGACTACATTTGTTTGGCTGTGATTTTGTTTATGAGCAACTGACCTACCCATGCTGTATTTCTGGAGATTAAAGTTATTATTTTACATTGCAGTTTTAAAATAAAATAATTCCATTAAGAAAACTGCCTTACACAAATGAACCTATCTACGAAACAGAAACAGATTCACAGACACAGAGAACAGACTTGTGGTGGCCAAGGGGAAGGGGGATGGGGGAGGGATGGAGTGGGAGTTTGGGGTTAGTAGATGCAAACGATTACATATAGAATGGATGAACAACAAGGTCCTAGTGTAGAGCACAGGGAACTCTATTCAATACCCCGGGATAAACCATAATGGAAAAGAATGTATATGTATGTGTGTAACTGAGCCACTTTGCTGTACAGCAGAAATTAACACAACATGCAAATCAACTGTATTTCTACTAAAAAAAAAAATAAACTGCTTTAGAAAATCTTCTCGGTTGTCAAGTATTCATAACAAGCACGGGACACCCTTGATAACTCATGAAAGAATTAAGCGGGTCCACCGCAGGTATCTGGACACGCAGCACACTGATGTGTGAATTACGTAGGTCTGTGACGTGGGTCTGAGTGTCCAGGACACCAGGCATGTGGAAAGTTCTCCGTAGCCTGCAAAGCCACCGTTTACTGTTTTCCAGAGTCAGCGACCCCATTCTCAAGACCCAGCTACCGGTTAATCTGAGGTGTGAAGACGGTCCTGCAGCCCCACCTCCAGGCCAAGAGACGGTCACGCCCCCGTAAACGGTGACACGCGCGTCCTCCTCTTTGCGTCACTGCTCCTAACTGACGGCCTCTGACACGCGTCCAGCGTGCGCGTTCGCAAGCTGGTGGCACCGGGGCACCTGCATCGTCTCCGTTTTGCAGGAGGAGACCCTGGTCTGGGGCGGTTCGATAGTGGCACGTGGCCAGACGGCTAATACGTGGTGCCGGCGGGATCTGAACGTCCTAGACTTCAAATCTGATCCTTAAACGTGACACAGGTAAGAGGGACGTGAAGAGAACGTGCTGTGACATCAAGTCTTAACAGTGTTCGGGGGGCAACCGGAGGGGTGCTGAGCGTGCAGCCCAGCTGTTCAAGGCGGGAGGTCGCTGGGCCAGGAAGGGCCCACGCGCCGAGGGCCGTGCGGCGAGCTCACAGGCTGCCGCTTACCTTGGAGGAGACGATTCTGTTGTCCGGGCACCTGTGCGGGATGTAGGCCTCAGCACCCGGCGGGGGCTCGCGGTGGCCCACGTACACGGTCCGGCTGTCCACACAGTCTTCCTCCCCAGCACACTGCGGGGGAAAGAGCGGTCAGAGTGGGCCTTGGGGCAGGGGGTGGGGGACGGGGTCTTCCCGGGGTTTGGCTTGGATGCAGGTCTGTGCTGGGCCCCGGGGAGGGCTGGGCACCCCTGCAGGGCCAGGCCCCCCACCCCTGCCCACCCACTGGGCCCTCACGTGGTAAGGGCTCAAACCGCCGCCCAGCTCTTCAGGGGAGCGGTCTGAGCGGCCACCGGCACCCCCAGCGGGAGTCGAGCGGGGCCTTCAAGGCTGGTGGGCAGTGGAAATGCCATAGGGTGGGTCCATTCAAAACCAGAAAGTGACAGCAAAACCCTAAGCCTTCAGAAATAAAGACGACAATCCCAGAACTTTGGGGAAAGGTCTTTAACGAAAGAAGAAAGTAAAACTATGAGTTCAGAGCAGAAGGACAGTTCACACACCGCAGCAGCTCATCGATAAGCCTCCCTGGAAACCGAGAAGACCTGGGTCTGACTCATCTTTGCATTATTCAGAGTGTTGTGCACCAGACATTAAGGAAACACCTCTGACCCGAAGAACCTTCTAGTGACACTCAACCAACTGTATGCAGTCAGCACTGCAGTGCCTGAGACATGATAGCTGCTGATGAGAGACCAAGATGAAGCCTCGTATAGCGGCCCCAGCACGGGGCCCTGGACCTCCCCCCACGGACAGGCAGCCCCAGCACGGGGTCCTAGCCCCTTGCTCAGCGTTGTCAAGAAGAAACAGAGGCAATAAAAGGAAACACACGGCTGTGCTCCGGGGTCCCAGCCCGTCCCATCCAGCACCGTGTCCAGCCTTTGTGGCTTCAGGGAACCTTCACTTTTTTTTTTTTTTTTTTTTT